CTTCTAATCCCATTGTCCTTTATCTCAGCCCTTCCTTCTCTGTTACCTTCCTTTGCTTTCCCAGGACCTTTCTGTCTATTTCAGTTTCTTCTCTAGACTCCTCTTGGCAATAGGAACTGAGACTACTCAATTCCTATATTATTGCATTTTCATATAGTTTATTGACAATGCTTTTCTTAGTGCTTTTTGAGACGAGGTCTCACTTTGTAGTACAAGCTGACCTAGAACTGATGGCGATCCTCCTGCCTCAGTCTCCTGAGGGTAAATGTACAGAACTTTGTCATCATATTGAGTCTATGCTGTAATAATTCGAGTTTGTTATATTTTAACCTCTTGCCACAGTCAGATTGTAACTCATGAACAGTTGGGAACGCAGGGTTCAATATTAGCACTTTTAGTTTAGTTGACACAATGTTTTGCTTACAGGAAGCATTTCATTAATGTGATTTACTTGTAGCCGACAACAAAATCAGACCAGGGACAGTTAGATTTGAAGGACATCTCGCCTCTGCGAGAGTTGGGAGTCCCGCGGGATCTTACAGCCAATCAGCAGCAAGGATGGAGCTGGCCATCAGCTGATTCTGGATCCTCGGGCACAGAGGTGGCATCTTAGATCTTGGACTCACTGCATCAGGGGACCAAGGTAGTACAGGGCACCGCTGCTGTGATTGTGGTATGTGCTGGGTGGTTGGAAGAGAGTGGGTTGGGCAGATTTGCCCTGTGAGTCCTGATTGTGGATAGATGCCTAGATGTATCCAGAGAGTGCCTAGATGTATCCAGAGAGGAGCGTTCAACGGTCCCCAGCCCAGCGGGGCCAATGCAATATGTTGTTGATAGGATCGTCTACTGTGCCTCTGATACCCGGGTGGGAAGGATGGCTTGGTCAAGTTTTCCACTGATGTTTTCCGGAGGTTGGCATCGATGTGGAGGGCTGGGCATTTGGGAAGCTAGATTCTTGTTCCAGCTAATGGTGTCACAGTCACTGTCATTGGTAGAGTGAGATTTGCTCAGTCACGTTACCTTGCCCCACCTTACACAACCACATGGGAAATTTTGTTCTGTATTTTTTTTTTTTTGTATCTGTTTACTATTTACCCTTAAAATATTCTAGTGAGCTTCCCCTCCCACCTTCATCATTTGAACTATTTGGACTTTGTAAAATTTAAATGCTTTATTGGTGCCTTAATGATTCTCACATTGCCCTTTTGTTCATGAAAAGTGAGACACAGTCCACAGTATATAGCAAAACGTTCAGGGATGGAAAGTGACAGAGGACGCCGGGCATTGGTGGCGCACGCCTTTAATCCCAGCACTCGGGAGGCAGAGGCCGGCGGATCTCTGTGAGTTCAAGGCCAGCCTGGTCTCCAGAGCGAGTGCCAGGATAAGGCTCCAAAGCTACACAGAGAAACCCTGTCTCGAAAACACAAAAGAAAAAAAAATAGAAAAAGAAAAAAGAATAAAAAGGAAAGAAATGTGACAGAGGGCTTACCTAGTGTGTGTGAGGTCCTAGGTTTGATCCCTAGCACCACTAAAATACAAAACAAACAAACACAAAGCCAAAATAAACAACAAATGCTATTTCATCCAATCTTTTTTATTATAGCTTTATTATTTAAAACAATTTTTAGCCAGGTGGTGGTGCACGCCTTTGATCTCAGCACTTGGGAGGCAGAGGGAGGCAGATCTCTGAGTTCAAGGATAGCTTGGTCTACAGAGTGAGTTCCAGGACAGCCAGGACTACACAGAGAAACCCTGTCTTGAAAAATCAAATAAAACAAAATTTAAATATAAGTTGATCATATTCTTTCCCTCCCCCAAGTCCTTCCAGATCCTCTCCCCCTCCCTTCTCACCCAACTTTATTCTTCCTCAAAACACAAAAAACCCAGTGTAACAACTCCTGAACCAAGAAAATAAAACACCACTCCAAAAGAAAAAACAAACATTAACAACAACAAAATCCCACACCACACCGTGACTGAATGAAAGCACACACAGAGAAAGACTGGAGTACAATATATGTTGGCCAGCTACTGACCATGAGGCCTGACCTGAAGGGGTTGACATCACCCCTTTAAGTACTAATTTGGGGACAAAAGTAAGCATATACAGTACTTTAGTTACTGTATTCAACAAAACACTCAAAGGGAGTCAAACCTGTAGGTTTAGGGATTAAATTAGACTCCATTCCTTTATTTCTGTTCACTACTCATTACTTGTGACCTGAAACATGTCAATTTCCACCTGCCTTGTTTTGTTCATGTGTGGGAATACATGAGTGGTAACTGTCTCACAGAGCTGTTGTGAAGATCCAGTGAGTTTAGAACTCAGGGTATACAAATGTTTCTTAGCCTTGCTGTTTAATGATATTGAGATTCCTTTAGACTCAGATGAATAGTCATTCTCACACCTTTGCCTATCTCCTGTTACACACAAAGTACTGGTCAAAGCCAGCTGGTCATGTGAGCCTGTAACCTCAGCACTCAGAAGGCTAAGGCAGGATGACTGAGTTCAAAGCCAGCTAGGCAAGCTACATAGTGACTCTGAGACTACATAAAAAGGACTATATAAAAAGACTGTCTTAAACAAAGGAAAGACAGCAACAAATAAGTAAATATTGGTGGAGTATCAACTAGTTTCACCACAAATCAACTTCCTTCCTGTCATTGCTGAATCTATTGGTTTTATTTTGCCTGGAACAGGGCCCTCAGTGTCTGCCCTAACAATAATCTTCTATGATTAAAGGCAGTGACAGTAAAAGTTATGATGTGACTAACTCTGGTAGTTTGAAGACTGAACATAGGTGTTTTTGGCAAATGACTTTGATATGAAATCTATAGCTAAAGTTTCCTGAGTTGCTAGTAACATTTAATTGGCACAAATCTGCCTGATAGGGGGTCAGGAATAAAGACTCTGTTCAGTACTTTAATGGTATTTTGATCTTCAAGATAAAGACTTTATAGTTACAATGTATGTATTTATACAAATTGTCATACATTTCCTTTTGTAGAGGGATTTATCTCCTTTATGGCTTTAATCAAAGAGCCACTGTGTTTTGGAAATATTTGAATAATTAGCAGAACAGATACATGTAGAAATTAAATGCATGTTTTTAATATTGCTTGGAGTTTTGTCACCTTCTCTTCTGTAAAGTAAGTTTTCTTATCCTGGTTTCTCTCACACCTAATGACTGAGTATTGAATACTTTTTTGAAGGCTGCACACTAAATTTCCTTCATTTTTATGTGGATTAATAATAGTTATTGGCTCCTGATCAGATTTTGAAAGGGAGGAAAATGCTGGTTTCTCTTTTATGTGATGACTTTCATTATTCAATACTGTCGAGTATCAGATTGATGCAAATATTTTGTTTTTTAGTAGGTTATGAAAGTAAATATATTTATATTATGTAAATAATTTTTTGACTGTACTGTCAAAAAAAATCTCATGATTTTAGTAATAATAATTTGTTGTCTAAATCTGTCTTAATCATGAACTCTCTTGTTCTTCACAGAACACAAAGTGTAGGAAAACACAGCCCAGGTAGATCAACCATTATCATGTCTGTGTGCTGTGTGTGTCTATGTGCTGTGTGTGTGTGTGTGTGTGTGTGTGTGTATGTATGTATGTATGTATTGTATGCATGTGTGTGGTTGAGCTTGTTTGTGCAGGCATATATGGAGGCCAGAGGATGATGTTGGAATGTCTTCTTGGATCATTTCTCCGCCTCACTGGTAGAGACAGGTTCTCACTTAAGCCCAGAGCCCTGCTTGCTGGGCTGGCTTGCCAAGCTCTCAAGATGTGTTTACAGCAGCAGGGTGAAAGGCATTCTCTGTGCTGGGCATTCTCTGTGCTGGTGGTGCACACCTTTAGTCCCAGCACTCGGGAGGCAGAGGCAGGCAGATCTCTGTGAGTTTGAGGCCAGCCTGGTCTCCAGAGCGAGTGCCAGGATAGGCTCCAAAGCTACACAGAGAAACCCTGACTTGAAAAGATGGTGGTGTCAGAGCCTCAACTCAGTTTACCTGCTGAGCCATCATCCCTAGACTTTAAGAGTTCAATTTATGACGCTGTAATTCTTTAACTTTTCATGTCATTTTGGATTCAGGAAGTATTTATTTGGTTGTCCAAAGAAATTTTTTGGTGGCTGCTGAAGCACCTTTGTTCAGAATCTTGTTTGTATCTCTCACAACACAAGACCTTCCCCATTTAACACCATATGTTTTATGCCACATTAATATTACTTATGTACCAATGAGGCCTGAGATCAGTAATGTTATTTTTTATTACTTTCAGGTAACATTTGGTTTAATCTGGTAGACTGGTTTACAAATAAGCGTATAAAGTAAGTACAAAAAATCATTTTACAAGTATAAGGGCCTCACTTTTTTTGTGTATGATTTTAATTTCCTGTGTATGTCTGCTATGATGAGTGTGTAAATAACATGATATTTACATGTCATGTTTGTTCTATTCTTTTAAGTAAAGGGATATCCGTGTTTCACATTATTTTTGCATATATATTTAAATGAATATAATTGTTTGAAGGCTGAGGTAAAACCAGACTTACATCAATAGAAGTTTATGAAGAAGCTATAACTAAAAATTTGAAATAAGTCTGAAAAGGTGGGTGTGATGCCACACCCACCTTTCATCCCAGAAACAGATGCAGGTGGGTCACTGTGAGTTCGAGGCCAGCCTGGTCTACACAGAGAGTTCCAGGTCAGCCAGGGCTATGTAGTATGAACAAAACAACAACAAAAGTCTGATTAACAAGATGTTTGAGTATCTGTAAAATTGGATGCTGTAGTACATCTGTGTTTTTGAGCACTCAGACATTAAAGCACATGTACATTAAATGTTAGGTTTTTGCTTAATATTATTAACATTCACTTCAATCAAAGTAATAGGATCCTTCACCCTCCCAGTTTTTTTTTTTTTCTCCACGTTTGAAAAAATCTGGTATTTTCTTTGCTTTGTGATTTAAGGTCTCATTGTGGAACAAAATGGGAGATGCTGAAGTGGGCAAGAAGATTTTTGTTCAGAAATGTGCTCAGTGCCACACAGTGGAAAAAGGTGGGAAACACAAAACAGGTCCAAATCTCTGGGGCCTTTTCGGGCGGACGACAGGACAAGCACCAGGATTTTCTTACACTGAAGCAAACAAGAACAAAGGTAAAGGCCAGAGGTGCTCAGAGATGCTGTTGCAGAAAAGACTGTGTGCACGGTTTGGTGTTGAAATGTCTGCCTGACTTATTTCATTGGAAATAGACTACCGTGTTTCTGTGTATTGAAACGCTGATTTTTTGCCTTAAGATCTGGCTTTAGATAACTTGCTATTCCTTCCATCAGAAGAATGAACAGTCTTTGGTTTTTGCCCATGCAGACTGAAATGTAAATTTTTTGCATGCTGCATTTATCTTGAGAAAGCATGGGTTAAGTCTAAAAAGAAAGTATCTTAATGACATGATAGCTGTAGTGATTGTATTTATAGTAGTGATTCTTACCAAGGTTGGGAATTTAAAGTTTGAAAATATATTTAACAATTTATTTGTTATTTGTTGGTAGAAGGGAATTAAACAGTAAAGTGAGAAAGCTTCTTAGAATACAGATTAAAAACAGCTAGAAAAGATAAGAACAAATATACTTAGATTAGCACATCAAATATTCTTAAAGTGTAACCCTATTTTATTTGGGACTTTTCTTGGTGGCCTTCAGTCATACAGACTTGAATCTCAGAGTACTGATATTGGAAAGGTTTTAGTTGACAAGGGTCTCAGTGTGTAGTTCAGACTGACTTTGAACTCATTTGTAGCCCAGTTTGACCTCAAATTCACTATGATCTTGCAAATGCTAGGATTATAGGTATAAAGGTACATACCACATGCCCAGCTACTTTAAATTTCTTCCTTTTAATTGGAGTGAAACTCATATAACATTTAGTTAATTATTCAAGAGTATGTAATTTATTAACATTTATCATTGGTGATACTGTACTATCATGAACTCCCCCTGATTTCAGAACTTTTTTTTTTCTTCAGTTCATTTATTTAGTTTATTTTTTTTCTTTTGAGACAGGGTCTTTCTACATAGCCATGGCTGGCCTGGAGCTCACTATGTAGACTAAGCTGGCCTTGAACTCATAGAGATCCACTTGCTTCTGCCTCCTCAGTGCTAGGATAAAGGTGTGTTCCACTATGCCTGGCCTTCAGACTTTTTTAAAAAAGACACCCTTGCAGCACCTTCATCTATTTAGCAATGTCTCCCCACTCCTAGCCCTGTTCCTCGATGACTGCTAAGTAGCTCTATGTGTCTTTGGATTTGCATGTTGATTGTTCATGTACAAGGACTCATGTAACATATGCTTGTGTCTGTCTTCCTTCACCTAGCATAGTGCTTTCAGGACCCATCAAAACTGTAGCAGTATCAGCACTTCAATAAAATTCTGCTGGCAGCCCCAGCCCCAGCTCCTGGTTCCGATCTCCACTTTATCATTTGTGTGTGTGGTGTGTATATATGGGTGAGTGATTACACATGTGTCCAGTGCTCATGTGGAGATCACAGACAGCTTGCAGGAATAGGTTCTCTCCTTTCACCATATAAGTCCTGAGGATAAAACTTAGGACTTTGAGTCAGGCCTATTCTATTATAGTATTGGATGTAAAAAAAAAAAAATGCTGGTGTGTAGGTATTGTAAGGGTTTTTGTAAAGGAATCTGTAAAACCTATTTCTTAAGTGATAGGATTATCTTTGTTGTTGTGGTTAGTCTCTGGGACCAGGACCTGATTCTTGCTGATGTGATAACTCCACTCCTAGATGAAGGTTGGGCTCCTAGATCATTTCTGGGTAGGGAATGAGCATGCTGGAAGAACCAATCATGTGATTAGATAATTGTGCCTCCTGCTCAGGGATGTCAGGTCGACTTCTGGGGACAGAATGGGCATTGAGCTTCTGAAACAGTTCTGTCATGTTATGGTGAGTCTGTCAGTCATGCTTATGTACTGAAACCCCCCCCCCCCCACTGGAAGCTCCTTACACACCAAAGTTCTGGAAGATTGGGGAGGACCTGTTTCTTCCAAAACACTACCTGGAAGCTGTGCATTTGGGACCCTCCAGTCATTGCCCTGTGGGTCTCTTAGGCCCTGCCCTGACACATGGCCTTTATAATAACTGTTGGTGCACTGCTTCCCTGAGTCCTGCGAACTGTTCTAATGAATCATTGAACATCAGAAGGTTGTGGGGATTTCAGATGTTTGGGAGACCAGCCCCCCACCCTCCCCCCAAAAAACCATAGTTTTTGAAATAAAGGTCTTCTTACAGAGGATTGTGGAGTGTGTGCTGACTGTGACAATTATAGTTAGAATTGCATTGTGGTTAGTGCAATTGGATTTTCAGTTGTTAGGTTGCTGAGTAAATCAACTTTTAAGTCACCTTTGTTGCTTACATTTACGTGGTAATTTGGGGGAATGAGGTTTTTTTTTTTTTGTGGTACTTCAGAATCGAACCCAGGGCTTCATACATGTTTGGAACATACTCTACCATTGAGCTGTATACTCATCTTGACAGTATTTTGTTGTTGTTGATTTTGAGACAGGGTTTCTCAGTGTAGTCAGAGCTGTCCTGGAACTCACTCTGTAGACCAGGCCGGCCTTGGACTCACAGAGATCTGCCTGCCTCTGCTTCCCAATGCTGGGATTAAAGCCACATGCCACCAGCGCCCGGATCAATCTTGACATATTTTTTTAAATAAAGATTTTATTTATTTATTATGTATATAACATTCTGTTTCCATGTATATCTGCACAACAGATACAAGAGGGCACCAGATCTCATAACAGATGGTTGTGATCTGGGAAATGAACTCAGGACCTCTGGAAGAGCAGTCAGTGTTCTTAACCTCTGAGCCATCTCTCCAGCCCTCTTGACACATTTTTAAAATGATGTTTCCTTCTTGTGTCCTCTTATTATTGTTGTTTCGATGGTAAAGTTGGAAAGCCCTAATTTTTAGTCCAATTATAAACCACATTTGAACTGAAATGAAATTAATTACTACAGAGCTGTGCACTGCCCAGTCAGGCAGTTGTTTCCTTTTCCGCACATAAGAAAGCTTTTTTAGTTCATGAGGTCCCATTTGTCAGTTGGCTTTATTTCTTGAGTAACTGGAGTCCTATTTGGAAAGTCTGCAAAGACATCTCTGTCAAAAGGTAGGCTTGCTTTGAAAATATGATGATAATGAAATAGAAAAATACCTCTTTAGCATCAATGATTTGGGGAAGTAAGGAGTGCACTGGGATATTAGACACTCTGAGTAAAGGGGAAAGCAAAAAGAAAGCAAATAGATTTACTCAGGGTACTTAGTACTGGGTTGTTAGATAAAAAGGTGGGAAACCTACGCGGATGAAGAAACATTAGGAGCAAAGAAGGGGACCGGGAAGCAGTTACCGCTGAGTTGACTGCAAAGAAATGAAATCAAATGATGTCAGACATTCCCAGGGTTAGGGAGGGAGCTGAGACAAAGTGGGTGGAGACGGCCTGCCGGTGTTTTCTGGAAAAGGATAATGAAAAAGGAAACAGTGTGGGAAGACTAGAGGGATACAGGACAAGAACAAAGCACGGAGAGAGTTGGCTTGCTGGGTAAACAACAGGTATTAAATGAAAGAGGAATGTCGAAGCCAGCAGAGCAGATGGAGTATAGAGGGTGAACACTGACTTGGCTGCTTGTTTGCAGGTGTCAGTCTTTGGTCTACTGATGTCCCTGGGCAAGGCCTGTCCTTGCTCAGGGCCATCCTTTTGGAGGTGAAGTTGCCGATGTGGTCCAGTCAGTGGGCAGTTCTTCATAGATGGAGTATCAGATGCTGGTCACACTTCTGGGCACACCCTCACCCAGAAGTCAGGTCACTTGTGTCCTTTGACTGATTTTACGAAGGAGAATGATAACTTTTTCTTGAAATTAGATTTCTGAACCACAGATTTCTATAACAAATTGTGTGTGTGTGTGTGTGTGTGTGTGTGTGTGTGTGTGTGTTGGAGCACCTGTGAATGAGCCGCAGGCACATACGTGCCGCAATTTACATGTGGAGGTTAGAAGCCAACTTTGGGGAATTGGTTTGCTCCTTGTTCTCTGGGCTCTGGGAATTGAACTCAGGTTGTCAAGTCTTCATGGTTATTTTACCTAGTGAGCCATCTCAGTAGTCACAAATACTTGAATTCAGGTAGCTTTGTCATGTCAGGGCAAATCACTTTCTTCTTTGGGCTATCGTTTTGCCCATTTTCAAAGTGGGAGATTGGCTTAGATTACGTGATCTCTGAGGTCTTCTCTAGAAGGGATGCTGTGATTTCAGCAGCATGAGGCACTGTGTAGGTGCAACATTTGTTGTTCATTGACATATCTCTGGTGGTCCTAAACAGTATGTGACTACTGGATTTTTACAGAGAAACAGAAGTAGACTCTATTTCTGGAATTTTCTTGTAGTTCAAGGTCTACATTATTAGCTAAACAGTCTTCCCACCTAGTGAGATGGTAACCCTTTTTGTTCACATATGTGGTTTATACAGACAGTAAGCTCTAAAAAGTAACTACAAAAACTTAATACTTATTTTCAACTCTATAGGTATTGTCTGGTCAGAAGCAACTTTGATGGAATATTTGGAGAACCCAAAGAAATTCATCCCTGGCACTAAAATGGTCTTTGCTGGTATCAAAAAGAAGAGTGAGAGAGAAGATCTTATTAAGTATTTAAAACAGGCAACATCCTCATGAAATAGTATTGCAGCTTCAAAAAATATCAGTTTTCAGTTTCAAATATTGTGCTTAATAAGAAGCAATTTCTGCTCTTTCTTGATCAGCCTGTAGCAATTTTAACACATTAAAATAAAGGTTGATATTTTTGATTGTGTAAAGTCCAGTCATGAGATCCCCTGATGAGCCTACACTTGCTTTGATCTATGCACTAAGGTGGTGTTATCAGAATGAATAAAGAGAGGGATGCAAACAGATTGTCCTTTTACTAGTTTCTGCACGCACAGAACATTGTATGAGCCTGGACGCCACTGTTGAGGATGAAGATAGTGTCTGAGTGATTCTCTGCAGTTCAAATGTAGATGTAGCAGACATCTGCTTCTGTTTTCATTAATCTGTGCTTGTCTTTGCTTAAAGTAACTTGAAGGGAGGAAAAGTAGGAAAATCCAGTCAAACCTTGGGAATGATTTTGGAGAGAGAGAGAGAGAGAGAGAGAGAGAGAGAGAGAGAGAGAGAATTATTGAATAAAACAAAATCTAGATAAAAGGAGAAAAGCATGGCCTACTTTGATAAGCACATCTTGCAAGTGTTTTTGCATTTGTATCTTTAAGATCTTCTGATCTGAAACAATGCAAAGCTGGACTCGGGCTCTTTTGAGGGAAAAAGCCCCAAACAACCACCAGAAATGCAGAAGGAGCTTCATCTTAGAATAGTGAGAGTGAAGCATGGTGGGCCAGGCCCGCAGAAGCCAGTGGAGGGCACAGTGCTCTGTGCGGTGAGGTTCTGAACTGTGTGTAGACCTGTCATCCAAATGATGGGGTCCCAAGGAGGAGGGAACAGCTTCCATAACAAAGAGGTGGGTAGAAGGCTATTTAGGGGTCATTCCGGGAGGGATAAAATACCTGTTATCTCATTTATACTTCACATCACCGCCCTAGGACCTTGGGGGTGAACTTTATCTTCTACAATGATACCTAGAGTTTAGTTCAGGCCAGAAGCAAAACATTGATCTTCTACTGATAACTTTCTCCTTTCTCATTGGTTGACTTATAGTGCATACTGCTTCTGTGAGATGAATATAGTTGAAAAGGAGCAAATTCTAGAAAGTTCTATTAAATTTGCTAAGTGCCTAGGCTTACCCTTGTATTCCTGACAAGTTGGATGCCAGTGTCAGTATTGTGTGTAAATGTGTCTCTGGGAATTAAGAATGTCTTCAGGCAAGGCTACCCTTGTTACTCGCTCCCTAAGGGAATTTTCTTCGAGAGCAGAGGGGGTCACAAGGTCTCTGAGAGTGTGGTCAGAGCAGAGCTGGGTTTGCAAATCTGTACATCAAATTAGACAACACATGAACTCAATTCTCATTTATAACCTAGTCCAGAGTGACAGAGCCTGCTGGAAGGATTTGCTGGCATGGCTACAAGCCCACACTGCAGGGAGGGAGGAAGAAGACTTCAGGCCTGGAGTTAAAATACCTTTGTCTTAGGAGGAGTAGAAGCAGCTGTTTTGAGGACTGAGATGATAAAAGGCATTTGGGTAGAAATGAAGAATAGTTACTATTCAAGTAGACTTCTGCTTTACAGAATTGTTGGAATAGTAGCATATTGGGTATTACATTAAACTTTAGCCTTAGAGTAAAACAAGTCCCCTGTCCCCCCCCCTTTTTTTTTGCTAGTAGCAATGTTTTATTCATTAGAAAGGTTGGAGGAAACGTTACAAATGAGCATGGTAATTAAAGTTGTGCATTGTGATAGACTTTATTATTGAGCCTGCCTATGAGAGGCTTACATTTATTTTAGGATGTCTTTCTGTGAAAACGCTTCTGGCCATGCTGACGGCTTTATTCTATGCCAGTTTAGCTAGGCTACAATTGAGTCTCTCAGAATTCTTTGCACGGTTCTCAGTCAGGCTGGTGACAAAAACTATTTGCTTGAGACTGGAAGGCAGCAGGGCCAGGCAGAAGGCTTTATTTTTAGAGGGTCAGCTCACAACCTGGATACAACTTACACATGTCACACATTATTGGATCTCGTGTTTTGTGGACAGCAGTCCCTCCAACTCCCGCTGGCCCCTCTTCTGCCTCCTGTGAGTTCTAGAGCAGGTGTGTGCTGCTTTGATGGTGGACCTGGAGTAGCTAGGTCATCCACACCAGTGGTGGATGCATGAATAGATAGCAGAGAACCAGTTTGCCCTCTGGGTTTATCATTTCTCCCTTGGTGCTTTTTCTTCTCAACCATCTGTCCTGAGGCCTGACCCCTAATAACTTTAAGCTCATCTCTAGATGCACAGCCAGTAACAAATACTCTAATGTGACTGAATTCCAGCCAGGTGCTCTAAGTCTCCTTGTTGCCTAGGCCCTCGGTCTTGGACTCCCTTTTTAGCTATTTAGAACCGATTGTAGCATGAATCGAACTTAACCAGTTTAGCAGGCTCACACCCATGGTAGCTGTGATCACCCCAGTCTGCCTTCAGCTAGAATCCTGTCCAGTTTATTTATCAAGAATTCCCTTTACCTCCGGAATTTTTTTCCCTCTTACTATTTTCCACTCACTGACCTCTCACCCTGCTCCCGGGCTGTAAACCCCCTAATGTGTCTTTGGTATTCATTGTTGAGCTGAATTTCCCCCCAGCACCAAAATATCTTGTTGCAGTTGTCCCTTAAATCAGCATCATTTTATTTATTTTTACTGCCTTTAACAGTTCCAGAATAACTTTTTCTTGATACTAGCAGCCATTTTTAGTCTTCCCAAACTCCTCTTTGTAGCCTCAGTGACTTTTATTGTGATTCTTTACCATCTACATTGGCCCATCTCTTCCCCAGAGTCTACCTAAATTTTGTGTAGTTTCATGTCTAATGAATCTCTTGCTCACAGCACTCTCATGATCTTGCTCTTTAGGCAAAGACTGTGGACACAGGTACCATAGCTGTACAACACAATTTGTGAGCAATCAGAACCTAGGGGTTATACAAAGAATGTCCTTCAACTAGAATTAAGTTGCCTTGATAGTGCAAGAAGAGAAAATAAATTTACTAGTATCTAAAATGGTCAAGCTATGTTAATGTCTCCTAAACTTAGATTAGATATTCGGGGTAAGAATACTTGCAGTAACTAGAAAACATTTTATGATGATGAATTTGAAAAAGTAAGTACTCTGGTTCTATAACACCACTTCCAAGAACAGAAGATTAGTGATCAGGAAAAGTAATGTTGATGTTGTATCAACAGAAAAACATTTAGAATAACTGAGAAGTCAGATGATTGGATTAAAAACTATTACTTCTAGTATCATCCATTTTAATATCCAATCTTAATGGAGCTCTAAAAGAATAATGTACCTGTTTACCTAAAGTCAGAATGTGAAATCTTTTCACTTGACAGCTTTGTGTGTCAGAGAAGGAGGAGAAAGACCTCTTTAGCAAATAGTGGGACATTGTTAGATCTTCCAGTCCTCATATATATTACATTGGGTCAAGTACTTCAGAGACATAAAGCTTGCATTCATGTAGGAAGCAACATAACGTTTGTTTTTCAAGAAAAGTAATTGATTAATTGAATCCCTGTGTACCATGAGATCACTGTGTATGATACAGTACATATGCTGTGTATAATACACTGTTTATAATACACTATATAAACTACAACAGCATTTGCTTTTTTGTTTAATTCTCCCACCTTCTAAAATAGCACAGGTAGGAATTCTCTGGATTTCTACTTGGTAATCTTTACTATCCAGATGTGAGTTTGAAACCTCAGTGTCACACAATTCTTCTGCTTGAATTTCTTACTGTGCACTCATTTAAGCACAGAAACTTAGTGGGGTGGTACAGGGCGCTACTGTGGAGGTGGGAGTTTACGTGAGAGTCACAAGAGCTGGTGATGGACACAAAAGGCAGAGCAGGCAGTACTTTCTCTTATGTAAAACAAGTGCATGTGGTGGGGCAGAGCTCTCATTTTCTAATATAGTTTATTTCCAGAATCATTTATTTAAATTCAGTGTTCCATTAAAGAAAATTCAGTATAAAAACAAAACCGTTCTGATTAAGAAAGCATGTGTGGGGCATCCTCTTTCCTTTCTACCTCTAAATGATAAAATACCAAATAAACACGCAGAGGCTTATATTAATTATAAACTGTTTGGCCTATGGCTCAGGCTTCTTATTGGCTAATCTGTGTATCTCCACATGGTCTTGGCTTACTGGTAATGTCCGGACCTCTTTGTTTCCTGGCAGCTATGTGGTATCCCACCTCGACTCACTCCCTGCATTCCTGTACCCAGAATTCTCCTAGTCTGGTAGCCCCACCTATACTTCCTGTCTGACTATATCCTGCCTCACCATTGGCCCAAAACAGCTTTATTCATCAACCAATCAAAAGAAACATATTCACAGCATACAGAAGGAGATCCCCTATCATCTATTCTTTTCTGTCTAAGTAAAAGGGAAGGTTTTAACTTTAACATAGTAAAATTATATATAGCAAAACAGCTGTCAAGCAAGAACTATAGTTAATAATATTTAGTGCATTAACATTTGGAAAAATTTGAAGAAAATATTCTTGTCATCTATCTTATCTCTGTGAATCTAACTTATCTTTTATCATAACTAAGGAAAACCATAGCCATAACGATCTGTCTTCAACTCCATCAAAGACCTCAATAATATAATATATAAACTAAATATATAATATATAAACTCTAGAATTGACAGAAACATCTCAGTTCCTGGACAGTCACCCAAAGTTCCTCTGTAACACTGGGGCATCCATCTTCAGCCCATAGGCCCAGAATGCCTGGCAGACTTTTTGATGAAGCAGGAACTATCCTGTCCCTTGGCAAGTTCAGTAGTCACTTTTCTTTGTAACCTGCTTGTCCAATTTGGGCAGCATGCTGTCAAGCAGTCCAGGCAAGAGCAATTTTTGTTCAAATGGCTATTCCTGCCATGTTGAAGGCAAACTTCATAACAAGTTTCTTCAGTGCCCATCTTCCTCTCTGATGTAATTGGTATTGCCAGGAGCAGTTGTATC